GATACAATAAGGCTATAAATGTGAGTACAAAATATGAATCATTAATGACCAGAACCAAAAGGAAATTTTCTCCCTCATGAACAAATTCCAATGGAAAATAAATAATACTATTACTAAAGCAAGTTCCATCCAAGATTTAATGGGTTTACACCTTTACAAATCTTAGATCAATTCTAATAACTCAGTTAACTTTCCTACTGATAGGATCTCCACTATAGAAATAGATTTGGAGGAAAATTTGGCTAAAAAAGAACCTTCTTCCCCTGTAATCTCTGTCAACCTAGAGTCCAGCTTGCCTTGCCCTCAGTATCCTAACGATACTAATCAATAATTTCCTTTCTTAATGAATTGCCTTTTTTGAAACTTTAGGGGGCTATAGGTAAGACTTTTACCAGACTCATTAATGATCTTATAGCTGTATACAATTTGGACTTATTAGCTTTATTTGAACCTATGGTCAGTTTACATAAAGTTGATCAAATCCTTAAGAAAATCAATCTAAAAAGTATTATTAAATTTGATGCTATTAGTTTTTCAAGAAGGATTTGTGCTTATGAAATCCTAATAGGATTAAAACTTATAAAATTTCCAAATCCAAATATATGATATACCTACATGTTCTCTGCCATGACAACACTAAGTGGTTTCTCGCCTATATTTATGCCAACACCCAAGAGAATCTAAGAAATAAGTGTTGGAATGAACTTAAAACTTTTAATTTATCCCTTAACAGTCCCTGGTGTGTAGCTAGAGACTTCAATTCTGTTCTTTTTTAGTGTGAAAAATATGGAGGTAACCCTTCAAATCCTCATCATATCAAAAGGTTTTCTGAGTGCCTCCTTAGTTGTGAGTTGCAGGATTTAGGTTTTAAAGGAAGCCCTTATACATGGCAGAGGGGAAATATTAAAGAGAGAACTGATAGGGTTGTTATAAATGAGAATTGGCATCTTTCCTTTCAAAATAGTACTGTTATCCATCTTCCTCTTTTAAAATCTGATCACATGGGTTTCTGGCTCAGAATTAGAAATAAGGATTCCTCTCCCTATCCTAGTAAACCTTTTAAATTTATAGCTCCTTGGATTTCTCACCTTGATTTTTATACCCAAGTTAAAATTCGTGGCTTAGTTCCCTTTCTTGGGTAGAAAATATCCATAAATTCAGAAACAACATCTTTGTTTGGAACAAGTTCAGTTTTGGAAATATTTTGAATAAAAAGAAGCTCATCTTTAAAGAATTAAGGGTATTTCTCGCAAGCTTAGAAATAGTAATAACATTTTCCTGAGTAAGCTCATGAAAACTCTGTGTATTGATTATCAACAAATTCTTGACCAAGAAGAATCCTATTGGCATCATCAATATAGAGCTAGAGTTAGGGGATAGGAATACAAAATTCTTTCATTCAGCTGCTATAATTAGAATGAAAAAGAACACCATTGAAGCCCTGAAGGATGAGTTAGTAATTGGGAATTTGACCAAGCTAAGCTCAAGATTCTTGCCCTGAATTACTTCTAGAAGATCTATTCTAACCCTATCACCACAACCACTAAGCTAATAACCTCTAGCTCCTTTTCTCCTCTTAGAGAATTTGATAAGAAAAGACTCTATACTAATATCTCTTTAGAAGATGTGAAATGTTCCCTATTTAGCATAAGAAACTTCAAATCCCTAGGTCCTGATGGACTATATGTCATTTTTCTTTAAGAATCAATGGAATATTTTTAGCTTTTTTTATTTTTAATTTTGTTTTAGAGGTATTTAGAGACCCTACTAAAATTTATGTTGTTAATGAAACAACTATCACCCTAATCCCAAAAAATGATAGCCTTCATTCCCTTAAGCTTTTCAGACCCATTTTTCTTTGTAATGTTAACTATAAAATAGTTACTAAATTAATTACTAATAGGTTGAGACAGGCTCTACCTAATCTTATATCTGCAAATCAATCTAGTTTTATCCCAGGTAGACAAAGAATTGACAATGATTTGGAACTTTATCATTGAGACTCTTCAGCTTTCTGGTATTGGTTCCTATTTGGTTGATCTCATTTCTTACTGTATATCATCCTCTTCAATGTACATTAATTGGAACAATAGCTACCCAAACTCCTTTAAGCCAGCTAGGGAAATTAGGCAGAGAGATCCCTTATCTTCCTATACTTTTGTTCTCTGTATTGAGAGATTAGCTTACATGATTCAAGATAGAATCAGTAGATCAAACTGGATCCCTTTTAGATTTGGTTCCTAGGGTGCTTTGGTTTCCAACTTATTTTATGCTGATGATATAATTCTTGTTGCTAAGGTTGATTTTAATCAAGTAGTGATTATTAAAAATGTTCTTGATGAATTTTGTGCTATTTTAGGTTTAAAAATTAACACAAATAAATCTTTTCTTAAAAATTCTAACCCTTCCCTTACTCGATCTATTAGTGAATATCTTAATATTACCTGTTCTAACTAGATGGGTAGCTATTTAGGTGTTCTAATCCTTTACACCAAACTTTCCAGGAAATTTTTTTTTCTCATTGATAAAATAAGAAAGAAGCTGTCTTTATGGAATATGAATTCTCTCTCTGTTGCTAGTAGGGTGACCTTAGCCCAATCTAGCCTTATAGGTATTTCTTCATATGTAATGCAATTTTCCCTTCTTCCAATCTCAATTTGAAATGAAACCAATAGTCTATGTAGGAAATGCATACTATTTGTAAACCTAAAATTGAAGAGAGTTTGGGTTTTAAAGACCTTGTAACTCTTAATAAAAATTTTCTAATGAAATTATGTTGGAGACTTGTCACTTCTCCTTCTAACCTCTGGGCCCAAATTTTGAGTCACAAACATCGGTTCTCTCTTGGCCAATTCCCTTCCAGTAGGGCAGGACCTTCTTCTTCCAGTCTTTGGAAAAGTATAACTTATGTCTGGCTTAATTTTTCTCAGGATCTATTAAGTTATGGACTAATGACTGGTTACCTAAATTTCATAATTTACCTAGTCATTCTAAATACCATATACTTGAGCTTGATTTGAATACCCCTATTACTTTGTTTTCTGCTAATGGAAACTAGGATTAGGCTAAAATTTGGGATGCCCTCCCTGATTATATATGTGATGCTATTGTTCTTGTCAACCCTCCTAGTTTGTCTAGTGGCCCTGATAAAGTGTTTTGGTCTCTAACTAGTAATGAAATTTTTTCCATTAAAATTGCATATTCTTTGCTTTCTGCTCCCTGATTATATATGTGATGCTATTGTTCTTGTCAACCCTCCTAGTTTGTCCAGTGGCCCTGATAAAGTGTTTTAGTCTCTAACTAGTAATGAAATTTTTTCCATTAAAATTGCATATTCTTTGCTTTCTGCTCATCCTAGTTCTCCCACCAACTGTAATAACATCTTTAATGTAATTTGGAAGTGGAAAGGTCAACCTAAAATTACTATATTGCTTTGAAAAATTGCTCACTAATGAGGAAAGATGTAGGCGGAATATGTCCTCTTCCTCAATTTGCCCTAGATGTGGAAATCATACTGAATCTGTTATGTAGGCGAAAAATTGCTTTTTGATTGGTTATTACTGAACTATCTAATCCTTCATTTAGTCCCTTTAACAATTGGAATAGTTTATTTGGCTATATTCTTTGGATGCTTTGGAAAAATAGGAATGATTTCATATTTTCAAATCATACTATTCAGACCATAGAGAGTATCCATAGAGCTTTATTTGAGACTGATTACTTTTATCTAGTTGCAGACAGCCATCTCAATCTTTCCCAGTCTTAGTCTCTGATCCTAGAAGTTTTAAATGGCGCCCTCTTCCTTCAAGACAATTCAAGATTAATATTGATGGAGTTGTCTCTAACTCTAACAATGTTGCATCTACCTGTGAAGGCCTCATTTTGGATTCTACAGCAAATTAGAGCCTTGCACACCTCTGGTAGATAAGCTTTGGGGGTTCTCCTTGGTGTCCAATTGGTGATCAGCTAAAACATTCATATAGTGTGGATTAAAAGTGACTCTAAGGAGTTTGTTGGTCTTATTTTCGGTGAACACCGGCCCTCCCATTCTATGTGATTCTTTATCAATAATATTAGGGACATTTTTAAATACGTTAAATCTATTAGGATCATGCATATTTTTAGACAATTTAACAAATATGCATATGTTTTAGCTAAACTAGGCTTTGAGGATCTATCTTCCTATTATGATTTTAAGATTTCTCTCTCTCCTCTTCTCTTTTTCTTAGACTTGTTCTTTGAACTGTTTCCTAAATTTTTTAATTTCGTTTAATATATATATATAAAATATATATATAATAAAATTAATTAAGTTAGTTGTGTTTTTTATATAATTAAGTCTAAAATGAATTAAATAATTTTTTGTTTGCTTAATTACTTGTAAAATGTGACACTGTATTTTATAAATAAGGAACATATTAAATGATAAATTTAATATTTTTTATTAAAAATTGAATTAAAAATAACAATTATCTAAGCATTTAACTTAAACTATATCTTTTTTTTTAAATAAAATTTTTATGTAAAATTAATGTATGAAATCATTACATTATGAGTAAACTATTTTTTATTTAGATTATTTTTTTCAAATTAAATCAAATTTATCTGTATATATACACGTTCATTACTTTTAGTGATTACAAATTATTGTGCATATCTGCAGGATATAAAATAAAAGTTAATCATACGTAAATTTTAATTAAATAAAATTATTTTATTAAATATTAAAAAGGACCTGTAAAATTATTTTAATTTAATTTATAATTTTAAATTCAAGTTTCATAACTTTATCATCTATAATATTTTTATCAGATTTGAAGATGATTATCATTTTAAATATATGTAATTTAAAAAAAAATTAATTACTGTTAATGAAGTTATTAAAACAAATTATTAATTACTAAATAATATAAAAAATTAGCTTTATATATATATATATATATTTTCAAATAAACAACATTTTTTTAATATTTAAAATTAAAATACGAAAATTTATAGAAGGGTAAAGGAGGGAATCTAGAAAACGAAAGGGGCGAGATCTGGTGTAGCCATTAGCGAGGGTTGATTCTGATTGAGAAGTGAGAATTGGGGTCGATTTGTGATCGAGAGAGATGGGAGGACATGGACATGGCGAGGGCACTACCTACAAAGGTATCACAATACATCAACCTAAGCGCTGGCACACTATCACCGGCAAGGGTTTGTGCGCCGTCATGTGGTAATTAAGTACACTTCCATTCCCCTTTTTCTACTTTCTCTCCACTCTTCGTTTACCCTAATTTAATCCATTCTGTGATTTGTTGCAGGTTTTGGGTTTTGTACAGAGCAAAGCAAGATGGTCCTGTCGTATTGGTAACACACTCATGCTTTAATTTTGTTTTATTTCTGTTCTATCAACAATAACGTTTTATTTTCCCCCTTTTTTGGTTTTTAGGGCTGGAGGCATCCCTGGGAGGGTCATGATGATCATGGCAAGGGGCATTAACATTCCTTAGGTACCTTCTTATCATCATCATCATTTTTATTTTTGGTCCCTGCAAATTTGCAACTAGCCTATTCCTTGTAATTCATATGTCGCTTATATTGATCATGACACAAGTTTTCCTTCGTTTAGTTGATGCACTCATTCTATTGCCATGGATAATTTAAAACGATGTGGCGTTTATCTTCATTCTCATTGTTGGTGTCATTGATAGTGGCGGAGACTTGAATTCATGAAACGTACTTTATTTATTATTTTCGGGAATTTCAATCTCTGGATTCTGAACCTTGTTCATAACTGAAACCTAGTAGCCTGGAAGATGAAGCTCGTGGCAGAGTTCCACAAGATGACCACCGACCCTCTTCTGTTTTATTTGATTTAATTATACCCTAGATAGAAGTATGCGTGCATGCTGAGCCGAGTCACTACTTGGAAAATTAGGATTCGTTGACGGTTTGTTCTGGGCATATGCTACGAAATTTTTTAGTTAATAGCTATTTTGTTCCCAAAAAAAGGTATTGATATTTATTTATGATTTATCATCAATGTATCGTGACAAGCCTCTGGATGTGACAAACTTTTGAAATTTTAGTGATAACAACTGTTTTACAAATCTGATATAAAAATAATCATTACTTGCTTTGATTTTCAAATTATGACTTTTTGATGAAGCAAGGATGTTCAGGGTCTGCTTGGTTTTATGATTTTTCTATTTTCGTTTTCACTGAAAATCAATTGGAAATGTTATTTTCAATTCCATTTCTTAGAGTGGAGTTTAGATTTCTTAAAATTTTTTAAAACAATGGAATGTTGTTTTCAGTTCCAGAGTTTCTACTTATGTTACGGTTCCATATTTATAGTTATTCTTCTTTGAGCTTCCATCGTCATTGCAACCCCCATTGCCTACCAAAGAAGTTTAGGTCATCACTTTTCATTTGTATGGCCAAATGAGCTCTATGAAGAGCAGGACCCTTTGCCCATAAACCTGGTGAAGTTTAAAATCATGGTGTCAAAACAACAATGTAGTCATGATTTTCTTTTTTTCATCCAAATGGTACCTAGATAAAGGCTACTTGGGACAGTGGTTCTATGGACTCGGCAATTGGTGAATTGAGCTTCCTGCGCATAAGCCACTTGCCCATTAAGAACTTTGAAAGTTGAAAAGCAAAAGATGTTTACATGTTAGCTTCAAAGCTGTTTTGGGTGACTTTTCAGTTTCTACCATTGGAGGCAGAATCACTATAGTTTGGAATTTGAATCAACAGTCTGTCAGGTGAACAAGTGTTTAGAATTTGGAGCTCTTAATTTGAAAATGATGACTGAAAGAAGGTTGGAGAAAGAACAGAGTAGATCTGATGAAAGCAACTTGCTTGAATTTGAGTGAAAGAAAACAAATAGAAAATGGAAAATAATCATAAACTGTAAACTATGTTTCTAAAAATGTGAAAAAAATGAAAATAGAGAATGATTTTCAGGAAATGAAATTAGGGAATGAAAACAGGAAATATGTCATGAAACAAACACACCCTTAAGTTGTATTCTGCCTCTCTCCGTTTTCACATTTACAAGATTGGTTTGCTTGATTTATACCTATTTAGCATGTGTACAACTTAGTCTTTAACAACATTTAGAGAACCTAGCTTGAGATTTTGAAACTTGTCTGAAGCCAGAAAGTCCCTATAACAAAAAATTAGGGAGAAGATTTGTTCAAAGGAGAATTTATATGATAATGAGTAGCATGTGTATTGATTTCTTGGCAGGCACGAGCTCCACGAAGGGAACAACAAAACTTGAAGGATCTGTGGCTGTGGGTGTGCTGGTAGTTCAAATATTTACCTTGTTTCATTCAATAAATTGTAAAAGAAGAGATTTCGTTTTTACATAATGTCATGAGCATTAGCTATGTTTCATCACTTCAACTGTTATCTTGGATGAAAGTAATGGCTAAGGTTGGTTGGAAAATTATCCATGTCTTCTGTTTTCTCATAAATTGTGTCAACTATGATAGTCGTGTGTCCGCCAGTGAATAACACAATGTTATAGTGCGTTTTGTTTATTTCAAAGAATTTGATGGCGTGCTAGCATAGTAATTTGGGATCTTATTCAGATATGACACTTGTAATTTGCAGAATTGTGCAAGTTGCAAAGAGTAACACTGTTGAGAAGTGCCATCTTGCATTTGAAGTAACGAACGCATGAATTGATCAGTTTTGAGATAATGGTGACAACTAAGAGAACATATTATCCAAACTCCAATGGAACATTTGCTTTTTGACTCTGAACAGCGAGTCACAGCACACATGTTCATCAAATAGCAGGGATTTTTAAATTGCGCTACAAGGACGAATGATAAATTATTCGCTGCTAAGATGGGTGTATCACACGCTTACAATAAACAAAAAACAATTTCTCACTCTATTATTTGCGAAACGCCGATTACAAGATCGTAGAAGATACTTGGAAAAAAATATAATGAGAAAGGGTTATTTTAATATACATTTTTAGAGATTAAATTTTGAATGATAGGAATTATATCATGAATAATTATTTTATTAATCAAATTAGTTACTAAATATAAATTTGATCGGTTAATTTTGTTTCCAATAAAGCTATTCAAAAAATAAGAGTATAACTATGTTGTACAATTTATTGTGTGAATAATACATCACTTTTTGAAAGAGAAATTTTATTCTAACAATTTTGTTGTATTTTTATTTTATAAATTAGAGAGATAAAGATAGAAGAGAGAGAATAAATGATTGAATGAGTGATGTAATAAAGAAAGATAAATATAAAATTATTGTTGTAGAAATATATTATAAAAAAGTGTTGAAATGGTAATATATACATCTTTTTGAAATGTTAGGCGTGATGTGAACGCATAGAAGAGAAAATGGAAGGTGTTTTTAGACACTTGGGTTGGCGGCTTCATGTAGGGATGTTAGCGGGCGGGGCAGTAGCTACGAGGCTTCATATTGAATCGAAGAGAGATGTCGAACTTGGTACCACGTTTGCACTCTGATAGGATGACACATGCATGCAGGTATGTATGTATACGGAGCCTTAAGATGCAAGCAATGCCATATCTTAATATGTTTATCTAAATTTAAATTAGTATGGTTTGAAATCAGATGGATTGTGGATATCATCAGTGAGGTGTCGAAATTCAACACCCTTGCACGGTAATGTTCTTCTTTAGGAACAAATATATTATGATAGACCTTGGAACCGGAAACACATTAAGATGATTGGGCTCTCAAAGACAACCAATAGTTCATTGATATCGTCGAAACTGTATACCGTGTGCAAGGAAGGGGAGTGGTCTTGTCATTTCTCCCAAAGATTACTGCCAAATGCACTCCATGCAATTTACTTGTTCCTAAACTTCAAATACTACTACTTGATGTTTACTTGTTTATGGCTATTCTCCATTGTTAATTGTTGTGTTTAATATTAATTAATATTCTTCTCCTTCTAAGATAGTAGGAAGTAAGAACTAGGAAAGCTACTCAATTTCACAGCAAATCAATTTCCACTCATTCAGTCAAAATCACTTTAAGCCCTCTCCTTCTATATATGTCAAGATCCTTCCAAACACAATTTCCAACATTATTCCCCTTTCTAAGCAACCAAGGCGAAAATTACCAAAATTTTTACCAGTTTACATCTTGCAACTCTTACAATACATAGCAAATCAAAAAGCTATTGAACAATCATCTATAAATAAATAAAGAGAAGAAAAAAAGTGTGAATTAAAAATGCCAACAGTGGATTGAGTACCTAACAAAGTCTAAAGCACCCAAAAACCAACTATGGTTTGAGAAATGTTGAATTCTGGCACAATGATTAGGCTTTACTGAAAAGGAACTGGAACACCCTGGTTCTTGTTGACTATAGCCATTGCCTTATAGCGAGTACCCATACCAATTGGAACATCTTCATCAGGTCCTTCCCAAAAGGGAGCTTCACCATCACCTACAAGACGCCAGTATCCTGTCCTCAAAGCTTCAGCCTGCTCCTCCGTGCAGTTTTGAAGGAGTGCCTCCACACGAAAATTTATCCCAAGTGAACCAAGAAATTCAGATTGAGTAATGGGTCCGTGGACCGACACTTCTCCTGCATAAAATTAGTTTTTGAGCAAATGTATAAACTTGTGATGTTTGATTCTGATCATTGTGCTACGTGTTACAACTACTTGTATGTGAAAACCACCTGAAGCTTCCTCTGCAGAATGCCTAATGGAAGCAAAATCAACATATGCACTGAGATCAGCAGATCCAGGACTGTCTAGAAGGCTGACAAATTTGTGTTTCCGAATTGCCTGCATAAATAGATACACCATAAAAGAAACCATGAGAAGGGAAGACAAACTAAATATAATGCATCAACCACCGCATCAAATTAAAAGATTTACTCATATATTGGACTGTTGTACTTGGTATCATAACCAACAAAAAATTACATAACAATACTGATATAAAGAACTTGAGTAATTTAATCTTCAGGATGACAGTAATTTACGATAACACGTCTAATGGTTCCTCACGGCACAGTACAATCCATTGCAGTGGCAGGATTGCTTACAAAACTACAAGCAAGTGTAGTAGAAGAAAGAAAGATAATGAGGTGGGTTCCCCCCAGATTCTATGCCCCACCCTCTAGATAATAAGGTATACTCCAACAGAGAAAAAGAGTTATTGTAATTAATATTTATCAGAAATTCAATCAACATGTTATGCTTATATTAATATTGCCATGATATTACAAAACAAGACAAAATTAGGATATAGGATACAACACTTGGGAGACAGAACAATAAAACTAGAAAGCAAGACTTTTAAGGATAAGATGGGAAAGATGCTAGACCTGGAGACTGTCCGAGATAACTCCATCCAAGCCATAATCAATAATTAGAGCTCCACCACCATCAGAACTTATCCTATCAACAATGGTCTGAGTCAATTCCATAGCTTTGGGGCAAACTTCAATTTGATTGACTTTTGCGATTTCCTCGGCTGCAGCCCACTTGCACCGTTTTAATAGATACAGAGTTGCAGGTGTAGGCTGTGGAGAAAGAACAAAGCGAAACCTATCCGATATATGTAAGAAGTATCAATACACTAAAACTAAAATCAGCAGAAATACAATTTCAAGATTATATACATTACAATACTTACGATGAATCTTCTGCCACATCAACCATTTTCTCACACCAGCCACGAGATGCTTTCTGTAAACCCCCCAAAAAAATTCATATTTCACAGAAATGTAATACCAAGAGCAACACGGGAAAGGTAGGAATTGGTAGAGAAATAAGATTTCAGTTTTATTTTACAACAATTATATAAGGTATATAGTATGACATGAATTTTATTCCAATAGACATTAAGGAACCAAAAAGATTCTTTGCTGAACCCAAACTCTTCATAGCAGTAAGTTGTGGGAATTTTGGAATCGTTTAAACAAGATAAGAGGCAACATTTTAAGCTCAAAGTATTGAACATCTCTTACATTTTATTAAGCCCCTTGAAGATCAACCAGTCAGATAGCGAAGGCATAGTTAAGACAGACCAACATCAATGCACTGCCTTAGCTCAGCTAAGTAAATGGACTAGCTCAAATGAAGACAAAAGGCCAAACTATATATTACCAATAAAAATGGAAGGGGAAAACAAAAAGAGAGCCAAGACAGTATGGAAAGAAACATTGAACGCAAAAATCTTGCAGAATTTCAAATTCCATAATATAATTGTACAGCTTGATAGGTGTACTTAGTTTTAATTCAGATTAAAAGCACAAATATTCAATCACCTGAAACTGATGGACTGGTAGAGCATCAAAGAACTCGTGTGCGATAATAATTGTTGGCACTGGAGCACAACAAAGGGAATAACTTGGTCAGGGTATTCAGATATAGTCCAACGAAATATTCTATGTTAACAAAAATAAATAAATTATATTTTCATACTACAAGTTGAAAATTGTATTTTATGTCTAATAAGTCTATCTTCATTGAAAAAGCATTACATACATCCCAAAGGAACCTGCTCCAGTGTAGCATGCCATGATACAGGAGCACCAACCAAAGAGCTTACAGTTCTCTTATCAGTGTCTTGAGTTGCATTCTCTTCATCAACGCATTTCAAATTCTGGTGCTGAAGCTTCTGCAGTGCTGGACTACACTCCACTAGGTGTACATGCAATGATTCAATGAAGTTCTTAAACTTTGAAGCACCCTATAAGAAATAAAAAGCTTTGTTCTCAAAGGGAATAATTGAGAATGTAAACTTAACAAAAGGTTCAAATAGAAATTCCTCTAGGATGAAAGCACATCATACACGAAGAAGATCAACCATGAGAGTTCCTCTTCCCGGGCCAAGCTCAATTAGATTAACTCTTTTTGGTTGGCCCATTTGCTCCCAAAGACACATCACCCAGACACCAATCATCTAAGTTTGAATAAACAACGCATTAGAATCCTTCAGTGATTGAATAATTGCAAATTTCCCAACGTACACAGTTAAATACACAGATAATTCAATTCACCTCACCTCACCAAACATCTGGCTAACTTCAGGAGAGGTGATAAAATCACCTTCAGCTCCAAAAACATCTCGATTAATGTAGTACCCAGCTTTAGGATTTGTCAAAACTTCTGACATGTACTCACCTAAGGAGATAGGGCCTCCACGAAACTGAGAATCCAACAATCACGAGACCCAAGTGAGATAGCACGGTAAAGACCCAATTTTTATAATGTGGAACTTGAATTGGGAAGAATTAAATATATGGGACCCAATGGAATCATAAAATAGAATAGAAAAGAACCTTGATGATCCCTTTGAGATGCTTGACGAGCTCAGAATCGGAAGATGGATGATGAGAATGCTCTGCCACAAGAAAGAGAGAAAAGTTGAGAGGGAGAGCAGAAAAAGCGAAGAAAAGAAGGGAATATGAAGAGAGTACGAGGGGGGTTGTAAAGTGCAGAGCGGTCGATGGAGATTTCACTGGCAGTGGCAGTGGTCTCTGAAGAAGAAGAAGAAGAAGAAGAAGAAAGTGTGGTTCTTGGAGCACAACGTGACAAGTATGCATTGGCTATTGGACGATGAAATGTGTAAGATTGGCGCAGAACTTTTCTCAGCATTTCTTCTTTCTTTTTTCCTTCGGTATTCACTCACACATCACAACACAACAGGGTTTATTATATCCAGTAAGTGCTCCAACAGGTTCTGCTGACACATTTTATGTTGGTATTTTTTATATTATATTTTAATAAAAATACGTAAAGAATAATATTCATAAAAAAGAACATAATATATGTAATAGTTACGCTGTATATTATATGTTTATTACATTGAGCGTGTGTTTTAGTAGATGAGTGAGCTGAAGTATGAACCCATTAATTAATTGAAATCTCTTAAGGTGTGTCGTAAATTAAGGACGCTATAAAAATATTTTGTAATTTTAAAAGTTTTTTTAGGTTAAAATTCATACTTCAATTTTATATTATGCAATAAAAATTTATTGAATAAACATTTAATTTATTCTAACCTATCTTAGGGACTCTAGTTTCAATTTTTTTTATTTCATGTTTTATTTTATTTTTTAATAAACATTAGTTTTTTTCTATGCAAATATTTAAAACAGGTAGATATAATAAAAATAAAGTACAATTTTATAATTAAAACTAAAAATGGGAAAGAAAAACAGAAAATAATTCTAAACCAAATAGTTCCTAAACTTCTCTATTGTATAGAAGAGTGTTAATTTGAGATCCTACTGATTATGTCATCCTCTATATTTCTTTTCTTAAAAGAAAATGATCCTTTTTGACACTTTTGTCATGTTGAGGTTATGGTAGGTCCTAATAATCAAATTTTAAGAATTAATGTTAGTTAACTAAATTCTGAATGGGGGAATTCATACGCATATCTAATTTTTTAATTTTAATTTTATTTCAAACCAGTCCACAGAACCAAGAATTAGATAGAAACAAACCAATAGTTATTAAACTTTATTTCAAGCAATCCCAAGAAGCCAACTCCTCATGTAATAGTAAAAGCAAGCAACTCCAAGATTGTAATCGATCCACTGTTACCGTAAAAATAATATGAACAAGGAAAAAGCTTGCCATTCCTGGGATGCAGACAAAGGAATGGCACTGCCATAGGCAAAATGGAATCAATAAAAAGAATGACAATGACTAATATATTTGTCTTCCTCTACCTTTCTTCCTATTTCATTACGGGTACAAATGAAAGACAAACGAGAGAGAGGGGATGGAGAGAACACTTTTGAGCTGTCTAATAGCAAAAAGACAGAGTCAAGAGATGCTAATTTAAGAGCTACGAGATAGACTCGCAAATGCATATCATGCAGCAAATTATTTGCGTTTTCTCTTAATCATAGCAGTAGTTTGCTCCAAAACTAACATTCTTTGATTTTTTTCACAGATTTTTTTCATGCAGCAAATTTTTTTTTCACAAAGAAATTCACTATGTAATTATCGTGCTTAAATTTGCTACAATCATGGGATCTCCAGACCCTCCTCCACACACGACGCATTCGTAAAAGTTGTGGGGCATTGTGTCGGCATTCATTATAATCCAATTAACAAAACTAACACATGCAACCAAACTAACTACTCAATATTGAAGTGATAATAATTTAACAATGACAAATCAAAATCCTCCCTTCTTAAACATATCGAAAAACTTGGACTACGAGTATGATCATTAACTCTGAAGCAGCACACATTAATATTCCTCAGGCCTACACAAATAAACAATGGCCAAATACACTACAGAGCTGTACTTGCCAAATTGAAACTATCAAAACAAATTCTTTCGACTATCTCCTGCGGACACTTGCTTCCTGATGATCATGAATAATAGTGCACAAACATTAATAATCTGTTCTCATATAAAGGCTTCACAACTCGCAAGAAAACATTCCAATATTTGTATTTTCCAGTAATTACTCAATAATCCATAACTTAAAACTCGTCATACTCCAAGTTATTAAATTCACATAACAATCAATAAGAAGTAGGTGCAATTTGAGTGATACGAGTCACATTCACATATATACATAATTCATCAATATGTGCATAAAAAGGGACTTCTGCAAGGTTATTTTGTGCATGGCTTTAGTATGTGTTTATCAGTCCATGGTATCCTTTAAGGAGTCTGACATATACATACATGAAAAGGAGGGTTACCATATTGAAGCACTGGTTAGTAGTATGGTGGTTTGTTTTTGTGCCACTTTCAAGGAGGATCTTCATTTGTATTTCTTCTATTCAACAAATTTCCTCTTTTCTTTGAGGAAACAATTCCTAATATATTTTTTTCCAAAGGCTTGCAACCAAATCCATGCATTCTATCTAAATCATACAAGTGAAGAAAAGGTCTAACTTACCATTAGCAATTAGCTAAAAGCAATCAAAGACCAAGGGAGGAAGGTAATTTAACCAATAGAATTACTTTTCCTTCTCAAAGAGACCCTTAATGTTCAATTATCGACAATCATAAGACAAGCAAACATATACTTTGCCAAATATAAATTATTTACGCACATACTAAGCTGGTGCGTACAATTCTTCTCAAATGCTACTAATATAATAAAATTTTCAAAAGAAATGCAAGGACATTCAACCAGAAATGCAAATAACGCCTTGATACTTAGCCATTGTGTTTGCGTATAAATAATAAAAACAGGCAAGGCAAGTAAAAGCATTGATGGAAGCATGAAAAAAATAAATATATCCATCATAATATTCCCATTGTTCAAAGATACAAAGTGGGACAAATCTATGATCCATAAGCATGTATACTTCTGAACAGTAAAAAAGCCAACACCCCCCCTTCTAAAACCAAAAGTTTCAAGAAAATCATATTATTAAGTCTGTATAAGAACAATGGTACCGCCTCTTATGAGCATTTTCAACCTACTGAACAAGGCAGGGTAACCTGACCAATTTATGCTATTTGCTACAAGCACTGACTGACTCAAAGTGAAGAATAAGCAAAATGGCAATCTGTACCCACAATGAAGGATTTGACCAGTTGAACCACCCTCTTCAAACACAAACCAACCAAGCTACACACATCCTCTCAGTCAGTCTCAGCTACCATAATGTTGATTCCGAGCAGCCATACTCGCAACCTGAGCCTGCAACTGAGCAGCTCTAACTTTGGCGGCGGTGGCGCGGTGAAAGAATTGCTCCCTGGACAGTGCCCTCACACTCCTCAAGTACTGATCAAACGGCAGAGACCCCACCTGAACAGCCTTATCCAAAGCATATAGTGTGTCTTCAATAGCCAAATCCGCAGCAGTGGACTCAAGCATCTGTTTAGAAAGCACATCAACACACTCAAAAGCATCCTCAACATTCTCCGAACCCCCCAACTTCTTCCCCTGGTTATCCCTCAACCAACCTTCGAGAACATCACTGTTCATCAACACCATCTGCAGCTGCTGCTCCAGAGCCTCCATTTCCTCCTGCATCTCCTTCAAACCGTTGTTGAGATTCTCCTCTCGCTGCTTCAGCACCGCCTGCAAACTGAACAAACCCTCCATTTCAGCCTCCCTGGTCTTCCTCAACCCAGCAACATCGTGATGCACCATCTCCACAAGCTTGTTAATGGCATTGCGCTTGTAGACCTCAGCAGGGTCCTCGGTGTGAACCCTGGAAGAAGCAGGAGCACCAAGGGAAGCGTAAGGGGAAGGAGGGTAGGTCCTGGGAGGGGGATACCCAGATGAAGAATTGGACAAATTAGAAGAAGAAGATGGAAAATTGGGCGAGGGAGAGGGAGAGTGATTAGGGTTAGGTCTTCGTTGGGAATAAAGGGGAGGATCACGAGCAAAAAGGTGGCTGAGAGAGAGAACAAGTTCAACCAAATTGGAACTAGGGTAAATCCAACCCTGCAAATAAGGAACAGAGACGAATCCAGAAGGGTTAACGTGAGGGTGTGGGCGTTTGATGATCATGTCGCGCGTGGGGTTGACGTACACGCAGGGAGGGTGGCGAGGGTAAGATTCCATGAGCCAGATAACAACGGGGATGTTGTACGTGACGCCTTGGAAGGTCATGGGGATGGTTCCGTCGGCTTGGAGGAGATTAACGGAACGACCGTCGTTGTGGGTGAACGTTGCCGTTTTGGGTTCCAGAGAAGGGAAGGTTGTGGTCAGGGCAACCAGATGCTGCCGGATCAGCCATTTTGTGTCCTCCGAGTACGGCACTGCGGAGGGGCCGCGCTGGGAGAGCACGGAGTTCAGAAACTGCGCCACTTGCGTGTTCGGCGATTGGACCATGATGCTTTGATTTGAGGAAGCAGAGGGTGATGGCTATGGTGATGACGATGATGATGATTAATGGGTTATGTTATGTGTGGGATTTGAGCTTGGAAACTGCTAACAAGGCACATGCCTTCGAGACTGGATTTACGCTTGCCTGGTTCATATCATAGCTTCATTCGCATTTCACTACCATCTCAAACGACGTGGCTTCATTCACTGGATTTTATGATTTTATGTTTTTCTAATGCCTGTGCTTGTTCCGTGTTCGTTCATGAGAGTTCACTGCTCCTGATGCGAACAAGGATGGAGGGTAATTTATTTATTTTTGGTAAAATCAATTGGTGAGCTTGATAGATGCAATACTTACTTAGGAGGGCTTTTTATTTAAATATTATTTTTTAAAAATTAAAATCTCTATTTATTATTTTTTTGTTTAAATGGTATTTTAATATCTCTTCTTGACTTAAATTTGAATATTTAACTCGCTACGTGGAAGGCTTTCTTTTCACCGCACGAAAGCTTTCATGTCTCTTTCACTGCACTACTCTGAACACTCTCAGTCTTTGCAGATAAAAAATTTATAAATTAATTTTTATATGTATATTTATTCTCAATTTAATTTTTATGTTAAATTTAAAGTAAATAATATTAAATAAATAACTAATTAAATTAAAATATATATATATAAGATTAATTTATAAATTTTTTATATAAAGAGACTAATTTACAACTTGAGTTAAGAGTATTTTTTTAAATTTGTGAAACATATTTAGTTTCCATCTTAATTTTTATGATATTGAGAAAGACATAAATAAATGCGTTAGTGATTGAGCTGATAATGTCAATGAAAGCACATTTAAGAATAAATAGGATTTTGATTAGAGCGGGTCATACAAATTTAATCTATAACTAATAATAAATTGATTTTAAAAAGTTAGATTCATATTAAATTAATTTGTTTATTCACCGTGTTTTTGTAACTTGTTTAATATTTTTAATTTACTTCCTAAAACTAAATTTTTTTTATTCATCTAAATTTATATTTTGTATGAAAACACTACTTCATTCTTTGTTTATTATACTTCAGAGCTATATTTTATGGCTATTATTTTTTCTTAATGTTAATTCTTATAATTAAGACTAAATATTTAAAATAATATTTTTTAAAATATAATTATATATTAAAGATATAAAAATATAATAATTATTTTTAATTAATTATTGCTATTATTTTTATATTTAAATTTAAATTTTTAAAATATCATAATATAATATTTTTATCATTATTTAATATTAATATTTTTTATAGATTTTAATTTAAACTTTTATTATTAACTGTTTATTGAAACAAAATTAAAAAAATAACAAATATTTTATAAAAGTTTCTATAAAGTATAATATAATTAATAAAAATTATTAAAATCTTTTTAAAATACACTAATTTAATTCAACGGTCCAGTATAACAAATTAACTTTACACTAAAAACTAATTTTACAAATGTATTAAAAAAAATTTGTTAAAATTAAATTTAAAACTAACTTAATACAAAACATTGAATTTTAAAATTGTTTCAATTAAAATCAGATTTTAAATCATTTTTAAACCAAATATAAAATGTAAAACTAATTTTAAACTACTTTAAAAGAAATAAAATTAAATTAGTTTAAAATTAAGTCTATATTAGTTTGTGTGATGGATAAATAATGCAAAGTAAAAAATATGAATTTAATTTTAATATAATATGAATGTAAAAGAATAATATTATTAATTTATTAAAATATATGCATATATATTTTATATTAATTGTTATAAAATTAATTTTTTTAATATAATAATTCAATACTAGTATAAAAATATTTATAATATATTTTACAAGATTTAAAATTAATTTTAAACCAAATTTAAATTTTAAAATTAATTTTATACCAGTTTTAGAAAAAAAATAAAATAGATTGATTTAGAATTCAATTCATATTATTGGATTTAAAATAGATTTAGTTTAGTTTTGTGCAAATCCAATCCATACACATTCCTAATTCTGATGAGAGATTAAAGTTTGGGGTGGGTGGGTGTGGGTGAGGATGAAAGTGAAAGTGAAGTGGTTGAGAAGAGAAGATAATTAAGTGAAAATTATTGAGAGTTGATTAAGTTTTGGGATGAGAAGTTAAGAGAGGAAGAGACTTTATCCTCGATTAAAGTTTACGAAAAAGAATGAAGAGAATAAAATTAGAGATAGAGGCAAAGGTGTGGGCAAGGATAAGAGTGGTGAAGTGATTGAGAAGAAAAATGAATTTGGTGAAGATTGTTAAGAGTTAGTTGAGTTTTTCGCATGAGAGGCTAAGAAAGGAAGAAACTTTGGTCATCACTGAAGTTGAAGATTGAAAACAGTGGAATTGAGAGGTGGAGAAGAACAAAAGTTAGGGAAGGAGAATGACGTCATTGTTTTGTTTTTAGTCCCTATACTTAACTTAAATTTATAAGTTAGTTTCTATATGTAAAAAAATTTATAAATCAGTACTCATGTGTACATTTGTTTCAATTTAGTCCCTTACTTATTTAATGTCATTTACTTTAAACTTAACGACAATGACTAAATCGAGAATATATATATATAGGGACTTATTTACAAATTTTTTACTATGTTGAGACTAACAAATTTAAGTCAAGTATAAGGACCAAAATATCATTTAAACCATTGTTTTTTATATATTTTGTTTTTGTTAGAGATGAATTTGACCCATATGTTAAAGATTTTGCCAACACCACTGACGACACTTTTTTATTTTAAATTTTTTATAAATGAGTTTTGTTACCAATAACATGAAAAAGTAGAGATCCTACCACGTGTCAGGTAGACATAAGCTTTGACATACTATTACCGAAGCTAGGTGCACAGTTTCATCATGCGAAACAGGTAGTATGTGTCACATGGCGCGATGTAGGAAATTTTGCCACTAAATCTGAAAAAAAAAAAAAACAGAGTAATGACAAGTGACACAAGATGGCAAATTTCACAACCTTAATGGCAAAACTATTACTGCCCTTTCTTTTACCCCTAGGCATTTTGATGTAAGTACATGTTATCTAAAAAAGTTTTTCCATATATACGAGATACATTTTCATTTGAAAGAAAAAATTGGAAGAAGAACTTTTGAAAGCCTTACAAGGTTAGTTCTATTCAAGTTTTTTTTTATAATATACTACTCTATTTAATTTATAAGTATGAAATTAATTACTATGTTGGTTTAATTTATATTAAATAAGTAAATAATATTTTTATTTAGAAGAGAAATGATTATTATTGTTTTTTAATTTAAACATTAAATTTAATGAATTAATTAACTTTTATTTGTAAGAATATAGAATTAGTGGTATTGTTATTATTATATATTGAAATGGTAGAATCTATTAAGAAAATGAATGAGTTTTGAAGGAGATAAGAAAATGATTAAGCTAAAATGAGGATTAAGTTTTGAAGCATGAAAAAGAAAATTTTATTTTAAACTAAAGTTATTTCCAGATTAATTTTACATTTTTTTTATTGATGGAAATGCTAAACAATACACAACTTTGAATATATGTGATGATAAAGATATTGATGACACGATAAATGAATATCAACAATAAGCTAGTAGAACTGTTATCAAGTTATATGTAAATGTCACTTTTGATGAAAGCTCATCAGTTTTGTCCCGAATTGTAGATTTAAATGTATCACTTTCACACCTAGACCATACTACACTTGTGAATTCTTATTACTATTGTAACATCCTTATTTTTGTTTAAAACAATAAGAGTATAATTTCAGAATTTATATAAAAATTTAGTTAAATTTATTACTAGTCAAATATAACAAGTGAAATTATCATATATTTCATTTATCTTGCTCAAATGCATAAGAACCTTGAATAATAAAACAATAAAATTAAACAAATTTTAAGAATAAATATCGAATTAAAATAAACATACATTGTTCTCTTAATATACAAAATATTAACATTTACAAAATATTAATCAAAATACATCCAAAATACATTAGAACTATTTTCCAACATTTACAAAATACAAAATATAATAATAAGTTCTAATGAGCAGCATATCCATCACATGACCAAAAAGACACTAGTCATCCCCGTGCCATCCCTCTATCATCGCTATATCATCAGAGTCGAGGTCGTCATCCGATCCAAGATATAAGTCACCAGGGTCTGTAGTAACTTGGGTACTCGTAATCCGCTCAAATGTCCAATGAGATGGTCTTCCAAGATGATCGTGGTCATGGTACGTGAACAAGTAGGTCAAAACTATTGGGCTCCTCACAGTGTCAGGAAAAATATGTACACAAACGGTATAATGGATTCTACTTACGAGAAAATCAAAAGGAATGCTATAAGCTAATTCCATTTCCATTATAATAAAGTCACTAGATACATCATTTTCATATACAGCAATTCTAAAGAAACAAAGTCTCTGATACTCTTAAATACATAATCTAACCTATTAGTTACAGAATTATCTATTAATCTAATCCTCTCGATGGGTGCTGTTATCCTGGTTCCCTGAAATGTTTACATAAGGATGCGTCTCTATTTTTATTACTAATAAGCATACAAACATAAATAATTTAATGATACAGATAAAGAAATCATACAAGCATCACATAACAAAATCATCAATCATCTATTCTATTCACCTTAGGTCCATTACTACTAATATTCTCAGTTTTTCACTTTACTGCCCTTGGGATCCCTCGAGGTCTTCCTTAGCATAGATAGTTGCTAGATAGTTGCAGCTACACGGATACAACGTATGCTGACCTGGCCCTTTTTAGCAAAAGCATGGTTAGAAGTATTGGTCAAGAAACAAGTGTAAGGCCTGTGGTGCTTCTACTCGCATTTGTCTTGCGCAATTCAAGAGGAGCATCTACTACGCTCATTTTCTCAAGACTTTTCAGTCTTTTCCATCTTCTATACTCTCAGTGTACCTCTGAACTATCTATACCCATCCTTATCATATTTCTTTCCCTTTCCATATTTCTATCTCATTTCTCCATATCTTATTCTAACTCATTATTACTTTGTATGATAAATCAGTTATTGCCAAGAGTTAGTTCCCTCAGACTCAGTCTACTATGTACATGCATATATTCAAATAAAGATCATACTCATCATCAATCACTACCAAAACATGCTTCACGCATAACAAATCATATTCCAAATATATCAAAAACATATTATCATCCATTACGTACTCAAATCAAGCATTTTCATAAATACAAACACAATAGTTCTTAGTAATAAGATAGAGCTC